GGTTGAAACTATTTTAGACACTTGCCTTACACTACAAGGTAAAAGCACATGATTTGGTTCCTGGCTGTAAAAGAAACATAACATTAAAAGGACCGAAGTTGCTCCATGTTTCACAGTTGAAACTTACAAGGAGAACACTTTTTTAGACTGTGTATCCAGTGGAGGTTATATAATAACATCTGAGAAAATTACCTATGACTTTTTAAAGCTGAACCTCATTCTTCAGCAAATGATACAGTATATATTTGCATTTTGAGGAAAGAAGTCTTGACTGGCCATTAATCACTCCTGACAATATAGTAGTTCCAGAAATCTGGACACTAAGAAGGGCAGTAAATAATAGGGAGGAGAGGAAAGTCATTCTGACATTCTAAATGGAAAATTAAAGAAGCAAGTTAAATTTTGTACATGTTAACCTCAAGTGTGTAGTTAATGTACAAAGTAATAACTTGGGTCAATAAGAAAAGATCAGAATACTTTCATTAATATTAATAAAAAAGAGGGCAGCCCGGGTGGCTCAGTGGTTTAGTGCTGCCTTCAGCCCAGGGCGTGATCCTGGAGTCCCAGGATCGAGTCCCACATCGGGCTCCCTGCATGAAGTCTGCTTCTCCCTCTGCCTGTGTCTCTGCCTCTCTCTCTCTCTCTCTCTCTCTCTCTCTCTCTCTCTCTCTCTCTGTCTCTCACAAATAAATAAATGAAAATCTTAAAAAAAAATTAATAAGAAAGAGAAGTACATTTTAGATGCACTAAAGATGAAAGTGGTTGAAGTTTTATTGCTTAAAGGAGTAAATATCAGTTATCTGGAAAATTAATTTCCATAGAATACCTCTTTGCTTCTTAAAGGAAATGTTAATGCATTGTATTGAGATTATTATTGCAGCAGAATCTTCTAAAGTTTCTGAACGTATTCTGAACTGTTTCTGGAATCTGTTCAGGTACAGCATGTACTCAGATGATTCTATAATTAGACAAAAGTGGAGCAAAGGAGCAAGTAGTTGGTTAGCTGGGACATATGGTGCAACATAGAGATTAGTAAAGAAGAAAAATTATGCCAATAAAATACCTATCAATGACTATTCTCATACTTCTTTGTTATCCCTATAAATGCACCTTGTGATGTATATAGTCAGAATCATAGTTATTTCATCTTCTCCCTTCCTTCCCATTGCCTCTTTCAGGACCCTGGTTTGTTGGTGAGATCACTAAAGGCAAATGGGGTTGCTGCTTTTCCTTTGGGATATTTGTTGATGGACATTTCCTACAAGGCAGCCTAACATTTGTAGTTGGAATTCTGCAGGTAAGAAATCAGAAATGGAATATAAGAATACCTTGACCTTTTGGACTAATTGCATAACAGTTATGAATTAAATCCAGAGCATCAAACTAAACACCATAGATCATATTTCCTGATTTACTGGCAGGGCAATCTTTAACATTTGATGTTTTGTTTGTTTTTCCAGTGCTTCCTAAGCTCTTTCTTCCACCACTCTCTCATAAACATCTAAGATGCATTTTGGCAGGAAGGCTTTATAAAAAATGAAAGGTTTCTGTCTTTGTAGTTTGTTTTACTGTGCTTTTCCATTGATAAAAAATAAAATAAGGGACTTATAGTAGAATAAATAAGTAGGGATCCCTGGGTGGCGCAGCGGTTTGGCGCCTGCCTTTGGCCCAGGGCACGATCCTGGAGACCCAGGATCGAATCCCATGTCGGGCTCCCGGTGCATGGAGCCTGCTTCTCCCTCTGCCTGTGTCTCTGCCTCTCTCTCTCTCTCTCTGTATGACTATCGTAAATAAATAAAAAAAAAATTTAAAAAAAAAAATAATAAGTAAACCAAAATTTATCATAATAATGAAGAAAGAAAATGTTAGGTTTACATGTGGATTAAGATTCCTTTAAAAGAAACACACAGGGGCTCCTGCGTAGCTCTGTTGATTAAGCGTCTGTCTTTGGCTCAGGTCATGACCTCAGGGTCCTGGGATCGAGCCCTGCATCGGCCTCCCTGCTCAGTGTGGAGTCAGCATCTCCCTCTCCTGCTGCTAGTGCTCTCTTTCTCTCTCTCAAATAAGTAAATAAAATCTTAAAAAAAAAATTAAAACAAAAAACTGCTCTATAGCAAATCTGGGTACATAGGTTTGAAAAGTATTTACCGAGTGATGTATTTTACTCACCTAATGGGACTAAGGTACTAAAATCTCAGGTGATGATCTCATGTTTGGGAAGAGATCTGAAAACATTGTTCAGAATGAGTTCACAGCCTCATAACAGGGCAGTAAAAGATGATCAGCAGGTTAAGAGACACATAGGGAAAACTTCTGGCTAGTAAACATTGACCACAGACCAGAACATTCTCTGTATAGCAGCATTTTATATGTGAGTAGGTCCTGAGCCTGGCTGAGTTTTCTATTATGTAAATGGAGGCTGTCTCAGGAGTACTCTATGCCAAATAAAACCTGGGCCTTACTAAAAGGTGGGGTTTATGTTCATATTTTAATAAATACTATATACCACTAGTGGATTTTATGTATCATCTAGGCCCAGGGCTCCCAAATGTGTTATCTCTGCCCTCCTTTCTGCACTTCAAATGCCTATATATCCAACTGCCATTTCACATCTTCCCTTAGATATCTCAATATTTGTGTAATAGGACCTTTAGTTTCTATTCCAAACCTGTTCGTCCCCCAGTTCTTTCCAATTTCAATAAGTTTTTCTAGGATATATCTTTAATGTTTCCCTTTCCCTCCAATACCTGATAATCTAATTCATTAGCAAGTAATACCCTGTTTGATCTCTCTCCAATGCATATCTTGAATCCACCATTTCTTTCCATCTGTTTCCACCACGCTAGTCCAATTTATAATTGTTTCTTGTCTGGGCTACTGCAGGAACTCCAGACTTGTCTTCCCACTGCTGTTCTTTCATCCCTACTGTCTGCCACAGAGCATCCACTCTTGTCCTTTTAAAACCTTAATTGGCTCACTCCTCAGCTTGAAATCCTTTAAGCAGAGCAGTGACATGATCTGGGTCTTGCTGACTGCCTCAGTTTCCACCTGGCTCATCATGTTCCAGGCTCATGGGCCTTAAATAGACCAAGGCCTCTCCCACCTCAAGGGTTTTTATATATTTCTTCTGCCTGGAATGCACTTCCTTCCATGGAGTCATTCCTGTTCTTCAGGCCTCAGAGAACCCATCTCTCACTTATCCTCTTATGACCCAGTTATTTCCTTCATTGGAATTTATCACAATCTATAGTAACCTTTTGTCTTTATTATTATTATTTTTGTCTCCTCTCTTTTAGAATGTAAGCTCTATGATGCATGCTTTCTGAGTATTTACCACTGTGTCCTTAGCCTAGAGCCTAGCACAGTGCCTGCCGTGTAATGGGCACACAGTAATTATGTTGTGAATGGATGTATGAATCATACAGCAGCTAAGCTTAGATTATAACTTAAAGCTTTTGATTCATATTCTAGTACCTATCATGCTACTTCAGCTAAAAATACAGAGATAATGGGGGTCCCTGGTTGGTTTAGTTGGTGGAGCGTATGCCTCTTGATCTTGGGGTCCTGAGTTCGAGCCCATGTGTGGTTTAGTTTACTTAAAATGAAAAAAATTTAATAAAAAAGAGAGATGAGAAAAAATTATTGATACCTAAGTCCCCCCTTCACTCTGCCAAAAAGAAGTGTGTGTGGTGTGTGTGTGTGTATACATATATTCAATTTATTTCTACCTTACACATTAATGAGGGCCTCAACATAAATGATACCTACTTTTAAGATGAACTAAAGGACTCAGGCAAATTCACAACTAACTATAAGTCACCTCTTGTGAGTGTTATAAGCAAGTGTGACTGAAGCATAAAGAATCAAAGAGTTAACCTCCGAGACAGAGCAGCATATTTTTAGGAGTCGCCAATAATATGTTAATGAGACCTGACCCTCTAAAGTCTTACTAATAAGCTAATGGTTCTGTTCTGCTTCTCTTTCCAGCTGGTATTTTTTAACATACCCTTGATGGCTTACCTGTGTTGGAGCTTGCTGCAGCGGTGCTGTGGTCACAACTTCCGGTCTCATCTCCATCAAGGAAAATACTTGAAAATTATACCTGTTCACCTACTTATGTTACTGCTATACATCTGGCAGATTTATTCCTGCTACTTTCTTCATGTGACATACGGCACTTTAGCTTTCTTCTTCTCCCCTTTGCGGACCTGGTTGACACTGTTGACACCTGTTATCATTCATTGTGTGTGGACTCTGAACTCTACTGAGCTTGGAACCTTCATGGCACAGTTAAAAAGCCACCTGAGCTCCTGAAGGCCTTGTCTCACCATCCACCTCTTTGGCCCAGGCCTCTGCCCCAGCAGCAGGTGGAAGGCCAGTGATGGTGGGCAAGCTTCAGGGAGCTGCTGCACCCTGGACACCTGGGAGTTGAGTGGGATTACCCACTACTGATTCCTACAGAATGGACTGCAGAAAAATCTCTAAATAATGCCATGATTCCTTCCTTCTCCAAGAAGGCAGAGGATTGATTTACTTTTATTCAGAGAAAGTCCTAATCAGGAGATCCACAGGTCAGGGACTGGGTGTGTGTATGGGAGTATCAGAAGCCCATTGTATTTTTTATGGTTACCTCGTGTAAAGTACCTAGCACAGTATGTGGAATTCAGCAGCCCACAAGGGTGCCACGTTGGGGGCAGGGAAGCAATGTGAACTTGGGCCCTACCTTGACTACCCTTGAGATAATTAGCTCAGGTCTACGTTTCCCTCAGGGTAATGGGTTCTCTGCTTCTTTAGGTGGGGTGCTTTCAGCTAATCAAATAAATGAATGATGAATAAGAACTCTGACTGGGCCTTGCGTCTGTGGGCGGGAGGAGGCGTGGCCGGGACTCTCGGGGGCGGGGCCAGGCTTCGGGAGTCGGGAGGGGGCGTGGCCCGGCCTCGGGAGATGAGAACGGGTGTGGCTCGGGCCCCGGGGCGGCGCCAGGCGAGTTGTTGCCGGAAACAAACCCGGCTCTGTGGCTGCCGGAAGTGGAGCGCCCACTGCAGTGCGGCCCCGGCAGCTGCCTCGGCCGCTGCCGTCTGGAGGTTCCAGGCGATCTTCTGAGATGGCGAGCACAGCTGCACCTACAGCCGCAGTCCCCACCCTAGATCCGCCTTTGGAGCAGATCCGGCGCTTGGCAGTGGAGCTGCGGTTGCTCCTGCCTGGCGTGCGGGGTGAGCTGACGCCTTGGGGACTGGTGACGGCAGGGGCGGGCTCGGTTAGGGAAGAGGCCGGCTGTGGCGCCGGCGGGGGCGGGGGCGGGCCGGGGCCGGGGCCGGGGCCGGGGTGGCTCCGCTTACCTGTGCTCTTCCGTTTGCCACCCCCGGTCCACATGCTACACCGGCTACAGTCGGCGAAGCCCGGGAGACCACCAAGGAGTTTAATGCTGAGACGTTTTGGAGGAGACTCCGTGAGTGCCTCTCCTATTGGGGACTTCTGTTTCTCATCCCTTCCAGGGTACTGACGACCCCTTTCCCTCCCGCTTCCCCCCCCCTTTTCCTCCCCCCGCCGCATCCTCTCAGTCCTTTGCACTTCGGAGGTTGGGATATGAAACACTGATCCGGAGAGGTGTTTTTTTTTTTATTTTTTTATTATTTATTTATGATAGTCACAGAGGGGGGGGGCAGAGACATAGGCAGAGGGAGAAGCAGGCTCCATGCACCAGGAGCCCGACGTGGGATTCGATCCAGGGTCTCCAGGATCGCGCCCTGGGCCAAAGGCAGGCGCCAAACCGCTGCGCCACCCAGGGATCCCCGGGGAGGTGTTTTTGAGACGTTTCAGCCTGTAAGGCTGACATCTTCAAAGTCCACGCAGCAGCTGCAGGCTTCTCCCTTTGGCACTGACAACATGGCCCCTCCCCTCTGTCATCCCGCAGACGGGGCAGCAGAGAACGTGTCGAGGGAAGCCACGACCCTGACTGAAGTCTTCTCCCGAGTTCCACTGCCCTCTCCGCAGGTGGGCTTTACTTTCCTGGAATCCTTGTGCTTGCCTCGTTGTTCATTAGGGATCCAGTCGTTTTCTTTCTTTCCACCCTTTACACTGAAGCCAGGGGGTTAATTTTCCACACCTGTCAGGTAAGATTGCGGTTCTCACCTCGCAGGGTTGCGAGGTTGCCAAGGGCAGTCAGCCCCTGGCATGCCGTGCTCAGGTCATTCAAATAGGTGTTGGTTCAATCTGCAGTTCATCCTGGTTATTTCCTTTCTAATAAATATTTTTTTAACATTCGCTATTTGCTAAGTGTTTTCACATACGTAATTCCCACCTGACAGATGAGTAAGCAGGCTTAGAGGCTCGGGTTAAGGTAAATAAGAGTGGAACTAGCATTTAAATTAGGGTCCATGATGTCTAAACGACACCTTTTCTGTTATACTACATAATAGCCTTTTTGTATTGAATTGCTTTTTATATTTAATCAGTAACATATATGTACAATATAAAATTCAGAAAATGTCAAATTTTAGTGTGCTAAAAATTTTATATTTCTCCTCCCCAGTTACTTTTGTATTATTCCATATATATTCGATGCACATACACACTCATGTGTATATGCCCTCTTCTTTTTTACACAAATGATAGGATACTATAAACTATAAACACTTTTCTGGACCTTCCTTTAAAAAACAATTAACAACATGGCTTGCACATTGATTCTTAGCAGCACATATGAAGTTGCTCAGTCCTTTGTAATGCTGCATGGTATTCAATAGAGTGTATATAACTATAATTTGTTTAATGATACTTTATGTGGACATTAAAGCTCTTTCCAACTTGTAACTATTATAAACAGTGCTGTGTAAATTGCCTAAGACAATCTTTGTATATATGTATATCAGAAGTGGAATTGATGGAACAAGAATTTATGCATTTTTATTTTTATTTACTTATTTTTAAAGATTTTATTTATTTATTTGAGAGAGAGCACAAGTGGTGGGGAGGGGCAGAGGGAGAGGGAGAAGCAGACTCCCCACTGAGCAGGGAGCCCCATTCTGGGCCAGATCCCAGGACCCCGAGATCATGACCCTAGTTGAAGGCAGATGCTTAACCAACTGAGCCACCCAGTCACCCTGAATTTATGCATTTTTAAATAACCAGTTATTATAAAATTGATGAAAATAAACATGTTGGCTATGGCTATGCTTTATGCTATTTTTCCAGAACTAGGTATACTGAATTTGAGAGTAAGATTATTTTAAAAATGGCATATTCATTGCCTTATTTGGTTTTAATAATCAGCGGTTTGATCCTTTTTTCAATCTATATATCCAGATGTTTTATTTTTTTTATCCAGATGTTTTAAAATGGAAAAAATATTCTTTGCTGCACCTACAATAAGCTCTCCCTACCCCCTACCCCCGCTTAGGTCCCAGAGAACTGTGATAAGAAAATAAGAAATGAATTGTTAGAGAGCATTTTAAAAGCTTTGCTTAAGGAAGTCAATATTTATTTCAAAAGGAGTAATATTACCTTATTTTTATCTGTTGATCCTTTCTTTCAATATACTTAGGACTTGTTGCTAAAATTCACAGCTAGTAGGACACTATGAGGAGCAGCATAGAATTATTTTTCTGTACATGCTCAGGACAGTGGGTTCACTCACAGGTGAAAAGTTTTAGTTTTATTTGAGGTATATGTATTTGAATCCCATTTGCTTTCTTAGGATCTTAGCATGTTAGTCTACTGAAAAATGGTTTGTGTTGTTTGTTTTTTTTAAATGTTTTTGGATGTTGAAACAATGTTACATTGTCATAAAAAGTGTTAAGCAGTTACTCTCAATCACTGTACTTATCTTCCATCCCAGACTGGTAACTGTTCATAGACTGGCACCAATATGTGGACCATATTTTACATAGCACTGGCTTAGAATTTAGCAGGAAAGTGAGGACAAGGAAGATAGGAGAAAGCCAGTGACTACTTGGAAGGAAAATAGTCAACACTGAGCAATATAGAATCTATGCTAATTACCTTTAGGTATATTGTGATTCTGTTAGAGAGAGAGATCAGACATCTGGTTAATGGTCTAAGGGTTGGCAAACTCTTCTCTAAAAAGCCAAATAGTGGGATCCCTGGGTGGCGCAGCGGTTTGGCGCCTGCCTTTGGCCCAGGGCGCGATCCTGGAGACCCGGGATCGAATCCCACATCGGGCTCCCGGTGCATGGAGCCTGCTTCTCCCTCTGCCTGTGTCTCTGCCTCTCTCTCTCTCTCTGTGACTATCATAAATAAATAAAAATTAATAAAAAAAATAAAAAAGAGGTCTAATCTAAAAAGCCAAATAGTAAACATTTTAGGCTTCATGGGTGAACTAGTTAACTTTGCCCTTGTAGCGTGAACACAGTTGGAAGTAACATGTAAACAAGAGTGTGGCTGTGTGCCAGGAACACTTTATTTATAAAAACTGGCAGTGGACCTAATTTGGCCCATAGGCCACAGTTGCCATCTCCTGGTCTAAGATACAGTGAATACCTCACAGTAGATCATGAATATCTCAAGATATAAAGTATTAGCAATAAGATTTCCTCCTGTTTCTTAATGCTTTTTTTGAGTTGTCACCTCATTCTCTGATGTCCAGCTAACTACTCTCGGCTATACAGCAAGAATAGCACAAAGCCTAACTAAAAGGACTACAGAAAATGTTTGTAGATCATACTGTACAGATGTCTGCTCTCTTCTACAGTAGATGGGCTGATGAATCTAATCTCTTTCTTTTTTTCATTCTGAAATTGACCCTTCACCTCATAGGAAACCCAGAGGTTCTGTGAACAAATCCATACTGCCATCAAGGAAATCATTACAGTATACTATTCACTTCCCAAGGATCAAGGTAAGCCAATGTATATACAGAAATGTTGGGTTATAGAGTATATCTTTGCTAATATGACAGCTTCTGTCCTGAGACTTTTACCTTTTCCTCAATTTGAGCATGTAATGTAACTTTCTCCCATAAAATGCACTCAAGGGTAATTTTATAACATCAGTGACATCCGTAAATAAGCCTTTATGCTAAGGTATGGATGCTGTATTACCATCTTCCCTGCTTTGCCTGACTGTAAGGCTTTTAATTCTTACTGGCTACCCCATCTCTAACTCATTCTAACGACTATGGATGCTGGATCTATAGGGGCCTCCCCAGTCTCCTCCACCCATATTACATCCCACCCTGTTTCTGAGCTCCCTTACAGGTTAAATGACCTCTGTCCCTGACCATAGATTAATGCTTTATGATTGTGCCAAAATTATAAATGAATACGTGTCTCATGGATCTTCAGGGTTAGTCACAGATGGTTTAAACTTCAAGTGTTTCATCCACAGTTATCAAGAGACCATTAACCTTAATGAATATATACATACTGTCATGGAAAGATTTTGTTTCAGATCTTTCTCATTCAGCACTCAGGAATAGTGGGAGGAACAAGAAAATGATATGGGGAAATACATAAGACTTGAGTTTTGTATTGGCACTGCAATTCAAGCATGTGGGTGCATGTTACCTCAAGTTCTAAAGGAGTTAAACTCTCGAGAAAGCAGGTGGTGACTTCTGGAAAGAAGACCAGGCTACTTAGTCTTTGGGTTTCTTCAGGAATCACCCTGAGAAAGCTGGTACGGAATGCCACTCTGGACATCATAGATGGAATGGCTCAACTTGTGGATGTGCTTTTCATAACTCCAGCTCAGAGGTAGTGATGCCATAGTTTGGGTTGTCAGTTAATGGGATTCCTTGCTTCAGGGAGGGGAAAAAACCTCATTTCAACAAGAGTTACTAACAGCTGTGAATGATGACTTGCAAGAAGGAGCTTTTTAGGAAAGAAGAACCTTGGTTATTGATATATCCTTATTGATTTCCTTTCTCCAGCCTAGAGAACAGTGACCTTATTTCCTACAACAGTGTCTGGGCTGCATGCCAGCAGGTACCTCGAATACCAAAAGGTGGGTAAGAACTGGAAATGGGCCATTGACTCTGCTGGCCAAGGCAGACAGTTCTCTCATATCTCATTTCTAGTTTTGTGACATGTAAGTATTTTACTTTATAGTTTAGTGAAATACATAGAGTTTATCACCAATATCAAAAGAGAAGTATTAATATTTTTTTCTTAGTATTTTTAGTTCTTATACTTTTTTTAGCCCTCTTTCTGTAGCCCTATCTAGTTGAACAGATGTGGTTTGTTCTCCTGGTCCTGCCCCAGGAGCAGTATTATGGGACACACTGAAGCACTTAGGAGATAGTGCCAGCTAGATCAAAAACAGTGTTCGTCCAAGAAGACCACAATGAGAAACATCAAGGGACCATTTTGTTTCTTCTTGTGGTGAATGATGAAAAGCTTTTTAACTCCTATCTGAGTACCCAGAGGATGGGTGTTAGAAAACTTTTACATTAGACCGTGCTCTTGTTGACTGTCCTGGGTACTTTCCTCAAATGCAAACACTGTTGGTTGTCATTTGCAGGCTTGACAGAATTTTGAAGTTTCTTCTCTAATTCTAGTGCTTCTGATTTTTCACTCATAGATAACAAAGCTGCAGCCCTTTCAATGCTGACGAAGAATGTGGATTTTGTGAAGGATGCACATGAGGAAATGGAGCAGGTGAGGGGACAACTCCTTGATAGATGAGACTATAAAGGAAGGAGATGCCCTGGGCATTGATTCAATAAATCCCATCCTCACTCCTGGATTTCAACTCCCATCTTCTAGCCCATGCCACTGTGTGTTTTAGTACCATTCCTCTCTGTCCATTACTGGGCTAGGAGAGTAAGAACGGAGTTTAGGAAGTGATTCAAGTTGGTGGCCATTGGTAAGGTAGCTGGCTTGACGTTTTTGGGATAGCTTAGATATGATGCTGTAAGTGTAATAGGCTCTTTTCTTTTTTTTTTTCTTTTTGGCATGTCTTAGGCTGTAGAAGAATGTGACCCATACTGTGGCCTCTTGAATGACACTGAGGACAACTCTGACAACAATGGTGATGAAGAGAATGATGGGTTGGGGTATCCAAACAATCGAGACTTATATTGGTCAGAGGAAGATCAAGAGCTCATAATCCCATGCCTTGCACTGGTGAGAGCATCCAAAGCCTGCCTGAAGAAAATCCGGATCTCAGTGGCAGAGAATGGTAAGAAGGATCAGGTGGCCCAGCTGGACGACATTGTGGATATTTCTGATGAGATCAGCCCTAGGTAAGCAGGATCCCCACTTGAAACGTGAGCAGCAGCATAGAATATCAGCTTGTGCTGTCACCCCAAGCTTTTCCCAGTTTTTTGAAAATTTTCAACCTACAGGAAAGTTGAAAAAGTATTGCAGTGAACATCCATATATCCTTCATCTAGATTCACCTGTTGTTCACATTTTTTTTTTCAATATTGGCTCATTTCTCTATGGATAGATGTGCTATTTTTCTCCTGAACCATTCGAGAGTAAGTTGCAGACATCAATGACATGTCACCCATATATATTTCAGCATGTATCTCCTAAGAACATTCTTATTATTACATCCAAGAAATTTAACATTGATTAGAATAATATTTAATATTCAAATTTCCTCCATTTATTTCTAAAATGTATTTCATAGCTTTTTAAAAATTTTAATCCAGGGTTCTATCATGGTGTCACATTGTATTTGATTGTCATCTCTTACAGTAGTCTGGTTTGGTTGTCTCTTGCAACTATAACAGTCCCTGTCTTTTTTAGTATTTTTTGACATTTACTTTTTAAAGAATCTAGGTCAGTTGTTTTGTAAAATACCCCAAACTTAAGATTCATGTGATTGTCTTTGTCATGATTATAGATTATATTCAAGTTAAATATTTTTTTGGCAAGGATATCATATATTTGAGTGTTTTATGCTTCTCATTGTATCATATCAGAGAGGCATGTAGTGTAAGTTTCTCCCATTATTGGTGGCACTAAATTTCATCACTTGGGTAAAGTAGTGCCCACCTGAGTGGCATTCCATGGATGAACTCCATTTGCATCAGTTATTAAATTGATGGTTTCAGATTTTCCCTTTTTTAAAAAAAATAGAGCACCAAAAGCACTGAGCAGGGGAGAGGGGAGGGGCAGAAGGAGAGCAATTAGAGAAGCAGACTCACTGCTGAGTACTGAGCCCAGAGGGGTGGGCCTCGATCTCTCATCTCTGGCCTGGCCTTATAGATCATGACCTGAGCCAAAACCAAGAGTCAGATGCCTAATCCACTGAGCCACCCAGGCACCTCCAGATCCTCTCATTTTTAACTGAATTAATCATGTCCTATCATATGGGCCAAGGGAGTTTTTTCCTCCCAGCTTCCTAGTGAAATGGAGTCTATACGTGTTTAGTAAATATCAGTTGAGTTGATTCTAGTTGCCCAATTTAAGGAATTGATAGGAATTTAAGGGACAGTTATATCCTCACTGGTCACTCCTTAATTGTGTACTGGAAATTACCCAGTTGAGCTTTGTTACTTTTTTTTGTTAATGGTTATTTTTGTTTTCTGCCCTTAGTGTGGATGATTTGGCTCTGAGCATATATCCACCTATGTGCCACTTGACTGTGCGAATCAATGTAAGTACCAGCTTTGAAGGAATAGCTAGTGACTCTACTGGTAGGATTTCACTAGCCTCTAGTATTTCCTTTAATCTCTAGGGAATATATTTATTTATTACACTTGGATGCGAGTACAACGATAATGTCACAGTTCTTACATGTATTTCTGCTCGATAAATATTTATAATATTTATAGTTATAATAGCCACGAGTTCTGGTAGTACTCTCTTCTGTAACAACTTGGGTAATCACTGAGAAAAACCCAAAGACCTTAGCAAATGCTACTTTGAAAAGAAAGTCTGAATTACCACAATACTTTAGGATCCTATTAACCTAAAGTCATTATTCTGATTTCTAGTTTGGGCAAAAATAGTGTCCAGAAACAAAATCTGTTCTAATATAAACCTATTGGATGATCTAACTAGAGGGTCAAACTCTTTGTAAAAATCTGATCTTAATCGTATTCTTTCTAATCCTGGGTTCTGTGCTAGAGAGAATTCTATTTTCTTATTTTTAGAGACTCGGATTATCTGTATAGTTATTGGAAAAAGAGGTAAAACTGCCAAATGGCTTATTATATCTTACATTCAGAATTACCAAACCTAAAAATATTTGATAAATTAGGTAGTGGAAATTAAATTCATCAAATGTATCTTTACAATGTAAATACTTTAAAGTAGAATAGGATCCTTTCGGGTATTAACATTTTTTTTTCACAAAGATACATCAAATGTATCTTTACAATGTAAATACTTTAAAGTAGAATAGGATCCTTTCGGGTATTAACTTTTTTTTTCACATTCACTTTTTAGAAATTGACTTCCTAAGAAATAACATTTGGCGATATGCCTTGTCAATTACCCCAATAAAAATTTTAAAATTTAAAAATAAAATTTAAAAATTTAAAATATATTGGTGGCATACGATTCCCTCATGTTATCTTGTTATTGGTATGCTTGAAATTCTGTACATAAATTTTTTTTTAAAGTAACAGCTGTTTGAGCTATATATTTGGAGCTATCATCAGTTGGGGTAAATTCAGGTTATATTCTGACTTTTTCTAGTTTTTTTAAATTTAAAAGTACTAAAACTTCTTTAAACTTATAAAAATATTATAGCAATAATATTAATAAGATTTTGTAAAGAGAGAAGAATCCTATAATCCTACCACTCTAATCCAATCAGAATTTTTGTTTTTGCAGTTTCCTTCAGGGTTTTTGTTTTTAATAGGTTTTTATTACTTGAGTCTTTTAATATATGTTAGCTCTCCTTCCCTTTTTATGTAGGGCTCAGGGTGAGTAACTTCTTTGTTTCTTTTCTAGTCTGCGAAACTTGTATCTGTCTTAAAGAAGGCACTTGAAATTACTAAGTGAGTACGAGGACTTCTCTCCAAATAGCTTTTTTGAGAATAAGCCCATCCAGTCATTCTCAATTCCCAAAGCCCCATTTCAAGAAGTGGAAGAAGGTGGGTGTGGTGTTTTCTTTCCACTTCAGTTGCAGAGCAGCTTAAATTCTACAAAGAAACTTGCCTTGTCTTACTAGTTTTCCTCTATGCTCCCTGGTGAGAGTAGATTTTCCCTGGACAGTATAAATTTAACCTCTCTTCTTTCCTCATTCCACTTGCAGAGCGAGTCATGTGACCCCACAGCCAGAAGATAGTTGGATCCCTTTACTCATTAATGCTGTCGACCATTGCATGAACAGAATCAAGGAACTTACTCAGAATGAACTTGAATTGTGAGTTTTTAGGCTCATTTGTATTCTTTTCTCTCCTTCCCTTACTATCACAGGCAGCCTCTGAAGTCTGCTTTTAAAACAGAGCTAGAATGCTCTCTAGATCAAAAAGGAGTTCCTGTCTATACTTGTTCAGAGACATTATTACCAAAGATTATTGGTTAGGCCAGACTGGCAATTATTTTTAAACTGTATGAGTATGATATATTTTTCTGTGCTAGATAAAAAAGGCAATTGCATGAGTTTGTGTTCCTGAATGGTATTTCAGAGATTCCTGCAGAAGCTGCCTTATTCCCTATTTGCAATAAAGTGTGTTGTTTGATGTTAAACATGTTGTTAATCTTAATAAAATGCTGACCTGCTGGTAGTTCAATAAGTATTCTTCCAAAGTTTCTTTCTACCAGAAATACAATGGATTCAGACTAGCATATCGCCTTTATTTGGATTTATAGGTCTAAAGATCTGATTCTGATCAGGACTGAATTTAGAACAAAAACACTTGACTTTAATTTATTTAGAGATGACTTCAAAGCCCCGTTGAATGCTTCAGTGTGCTATATAATATCATTATTCTTATAATTAAGTCCTTCTGAATATTATTGCATTCATGCCTCTAAAATTATTTTTTTGGTATTGAGCTCACATATTAGGTTTGTCCACTTTATTGAGCAGATTTGTTTTTCTTACATATGTTTGTATTATTGTTATATATTACATGTCTCTCCAAATGTAAGTACAAAATTTTTATAAATCAAAACTTTGTAAGTGTATTAAAATAGTTTATATAATTTTAAGGGCCTTTTCAGTTTAAGGGCCTTTTCCTTTTGCACAACCATCACCACTTAATTATAATTTTGCATGTGTCTAGAAGATCACATATTGGAAAGCAAGATAAACCTGTATGATGTGTATTCTGGTGACCTGACTTGGGTTTTATGCATGTACTGCGGGTCTCCACAACATCTAATGCCAGTCCTTTTCCTTGCATAGATGTAACTTAGCCCATCTGCCCTTCCGATGTCTCCATGGTCTTTTTAGGTATAATCAGCCACAGCAGTCATTCTTTTGAGCAAGTAGTGTATACTTGGGTTGAAATTCCTTATGTAAAATGAGTTTTAATTTACTCTTCTCAAGTGCCATTTTATACTTGTAATAAGAGTCAGAAAGAGAAGGAACTAAAGTCAGAGAGTGTCAAAACAACAAGTAATGTAAACCAAAATATATATATATATATAACTTTGTACAAAAGGAGTCTAGTTCTTTTATTTTTTCTTCAAGGGCTGGTATTCTATATACTTAATAGTTTTCATATTTCTCTAGTGGGCCAAGTTCATGTTATCAACTTCAGACTTTAATTATGAGATACTTAATGGAGGTTTAAGCAGGAAGTTCGGAGGCTTCCACGATGACGTTTCTGTAGTTGGTTAGGTTCTGGAACAGATTGCAGTCCATTTCCACAGTGAGCCTCTGGAACCCCACCTGTGTTGGTGTAAACTGAAATTGGGTGTGCAAGATGTTTCCGGGCCACACTGTAGCTAATCTGAAATAAAGGAAAAAGCAGGTGGTGGTTCTATCCCATTGCTTTACTGGTCCCAGTGACTCTTCCCTACTTGAAGAGGTGAACTGTGAAGAAATCAACATTTAAGTATCTTAGTGTTTAAACAGAGGAGGTTTTCAGGGGATGAAAGATAGGAGCCTCCCTCTGGTGAGCGGCTGCATGATTAAGAAGAGAAACATCCTATTCTGAAGGCTTCCAGGCTATATCTGTTATTTTATCACCAATGACTTCAGTCTGGTCCCACTCTTGGTAATAGTACCAAGGCATGTTTGGAAAATCTGTAGTTTTGGACCTCTCCTGTTGCTAAGTGCTGTGAGGGTACAGTAAACGTATACAGAAATTGTCAGCATGCTAACAGGTGGTGTTTGGCACCCTATCAGTAACCTCCTGGCCTGCCCATGGACCTTCTTACATTGACGAAGGGAGGAGCACATTTCCTTGGAGGAGCTTTCCCCTACTGTTGATCTGGGATACCACAAAAGTATAGTTAAATGTTGGCAGTCCCTCCTCTCAGTTTATTGGCAAGAGTGACTCATTGGGTTTCATAAGGCTGAGGCAGTGGCTCAATAACCAGTCAACTACCAGGGATTTGAGGAGTAGGTACCGTGAGCTCTGAACTGTACACTGTGTTTTCAATAAGGGGTGCTATGGACACAATGAGGGAAGAAGAGATAATGAAGAAAAATAGTTGCAACATCTGAAACCAACAAGGGACTCATACAGGGAGCTCCTACAAATCAACAAAGAGAAAAGGCAGGAACACCAAAAGGAAAAAGGGCAAAGATAAGAACAAACCTTAAACAGAGGAGGAAACAGAAAAGGCTAATAAAAATATGAAGAGTTGCAAATTAAAACAATAATGAGATAATACCTTACTACTATTAGACTGGGGAAACAGAGAAAGCTGAGTATTGCCAAGAGTGGAGAAATGGTAGGAATATAGCAACTCTTCTAGTGGTGGAGGAAATGTGGACTTCTGCAGTCATTCTGCAAACAAATCTGATAGTACCCAGTCAAACCAGGTCATATTCTGTGATATAGTAATTCCATTCCTGGGCATACATCTCCTTCCTCCCTGGCCAGAGTTTCAAACTATTATGTAAGATGTGTGAGGGTGTGCCTGGGTGGCTCGGTTAAGTGCCTGCCTTCTCTTAGGTCATGATCCCAGGTTCCTGGAATTGCATCACAAGTCAGGCTCTGCTTAATGGGGAGTCTGCTTCTCCCTCTGCCTCTCCCCCTGCTTGTGTTTTTTCTCTCTCTCTCAAATAAATAAAGAAAATCTAAAAAAAAAAAAAGATGTGTGAGGATGTTTATTGCAATAATATTTGTGTTCCAGAGTTGGAGGCACTCTGGGTACCCATCACTGTGGAATGGAGTGGTAGAAAGTATAGGATGTACAGGATAAAGCATTATGTTGCAGAAGCAATGGGCTTAACATATGTGGATGAATCTCAAAAACAGTTCTGAGTGAAAAATAAGGAAAATGAAAAAAAATAAGGAAAATGGATTAGACATAACATCATTTACGTAAATTAAAAATACAGGCGTATGAAGCACAGGACACATTTTACACATGCTAATGAAAGGATGCACATACTAACTAACAAAAGAATATGAAGGTGGTAGGAATAGGGAATAGGAATAAAAAGAAATATTTAAACAAAATTTTATATTGTAGTAGTCATTAGTAGAATGCAGCTCTTTGTCTATATCAGAAGGCAGAATACCTGTGACATTCTCTAGTACTCAGACCTAACCTCCATGCCTGCAATTATAGCAATACCCAGGCTCTCCCTGCATGATCGGAATAGCAATCAGGGTCAGGGTCAGGTGGATGCTCTTGGGGGCATATAGCCTCCCTCACTCCTGTCTACCAGGATGAGAGAGGCCCTAATCCTTTAGTTCAACTTCAGAAGAGTTTATTCCCTGTCTCTATGGACACAGCAAAAAGACAGGCATTAGTCTTGGGTAGGGACCCATCTCAACTGCCTTACGGACCAGCTGAGATGTTTCAGGTAGATGAAAAGCTCATAGTCTCTTACCTGTACCTTCTCTCTCTGTAAATGAGCCCCCTTCCAAAGATGGAGATCACACAGTCCTTCATGGGAATGTCTAGGAAGTTATGGAGGCTAACTGAAGCCCTAAGAAGTTGATACTGCTCTGCTGTCTCTGGCATCTGTGGGAAGAGGCAAAATATGGAGCGGATGCCAAGAGCACAGAGCCACAGTTACTGCTTCCCCTCCCAAGCACTCTCCCTGTACTCCCCTCAGTTATTCTTCTGTCTCTGCGATCTGGACCCAAACTCCACACCTCACTTCTTTAGTCCTCTATCTGGTCTTCCTGCACTTATTCTTACCCTTACCTTGATTAATCCATGGCCATCTCTGATGTTGCCTCTCCTCCACTTAGAAACCTTGGAGTGGTTCCCATTGTCCTTAGAATTCAGCTTTGGTTGGCATTCAGAGTCTTTCATGGTCTGACCCCAGTCCCCTTTTCCAGCCTCACCTGTTCTTCCCTTGACTAAGTGACATCCCAGCATCCCCCTCAGACTTCCCCTCTTTTGGGACTCCCTGTTAAGTCTTCTGCCTGCAATGGCCTTCCTCAACCCCAGCACTAAAGCTTACCTATTTTTCAAGGCCCAGCATAAATGCCTCCTCCTCCTATTAAGTATTCCTCAAACCCACCAGCTGAAATTAATCCCCTACTTCACTTACCTCATAGTGACTTTGTACCTCTTTTGTCTTTTTACATAAAAGACCAAACACTGTGTCTCCTTACTTTAATATAATCTCTTTTAGGGCTGAGACCAGATTGCATTCATTTTGGTCAGGGGAGACATGTGAAAAGAGGACTAGATCAAGAGCCATAAGCTTCTAAGACATCCCATTTTCATGATCATGAGTATGATCATCTCTAGGACTGTATTCCCATCTGAATAATGAGAATAGTTCCACCTCATAAGGATTTTGTATTAAAAGAAAGGTGAAAATTCATTGGCATACGTATAAAGTTCTAAATAAATATAGGCTAGTATTAGCCATCTAAATATGGAGGCAGCAATGGGGAGGCCCTGATTTTTAAAATACTTCAAAAAAAGAAGTTGGAAGATGTAAACCTTAATAGCATATGTAAGAAACCATCTATTTCAAGAGAAGGAGCTCTCGAGATAGTATTTTCTGGCAATCCTACAGCACAATTGTTCACCCTGAAGTGTGAGGGGCTCTTGATTCCTTCTGAAACAGGAGCAAACGAGTAATTTGGGGAAAGGTTGGTGCCTACCTCAATGGCAAGGTGTGGTCTACAAATGGCAATGTCTTCCTGAGCAAAGCAGCTGAGGCTGGATGCAGAGTGTGTTGCTGTGGCCATGACTGTGAGTCTCAGGAAGCTGTTCTCTGGTGGGTTTTGATCAAAATGTAAGAAGGACAGATTGCTGGTGATACTGTTAACTGAAACACAGGAGAGATGGAGTTAGTGCAAATCCTAAGTGTGTGTGCGTTGGCAACAGGCAATATTACACACAGTCCAAAGGAGTAAGTGTCTCACCGAAGCCAGAAAGATGCCTCATTTCTCACAGCAATTTCCAACTTGAATTCACTCGAGGCCCCACCCCCTGCCACTATCACTGCTTCTGCCAACATTCTTGGCAGACCACCTCAGTGGGGTTGTGGAAAGCCCCTGCAAACTAGAACAAGTTATGCTCTCCTGGCCTTGGTTTCCTCGTCTAATTATAATGCTACCGGATGGGATGGCTTGTGTTAAATGAGATACTGAGGTGCTTATCTCAGGCCCCACTGCACATTTGTTGCTGTATATATGCTTACTTAGTTTCTTCTTCTCTGCTTCTGTTTCCCATTTGCAGAGGAAATGAAGTCATCCTTTATTGTCAAGCTTACATTCCCATTCCCAACCCATAGATACCGTCATCAACCCCTGCTGCCATCACCCTGAGGAAGATGAGGTGTCCTCCCTTTGCAGGTCACAATCTCTACTTTTTAAGTCTATGCCCTATCCTGACCTTTCCCCTGCCTGCTATATAACTTTTGGGCAAATTAGGTAACCTCTCTGTGCTTTGGTCTCCTTATCTGTAAAGTGGGATAACAGTGGCTGCTGTCTTAGAAGGTTGTTGTAAGGATAAACGAGATAATGCATATGGAACACTTAACACTGTTTGCCAAAAATAAGCTACAGTTACTCTAGTTGCTTCATGTCCCCCAAGCATTGCAGCATCAATTATAACCCATCTTCCCTGAGGCTTCAGTCTTTTCCTCTCTGCTGATTCTTCTCCTCAGCATGTAAGCCAATTCTGCTGTCTCACCTTAAATAAACAAAACCCTCCCCCTACCCAGTGTCCCTGCCTGACCACTCAGCCTGTCTCCTTTTTCTGTCGATGCTTCCAGGAAGGACTGCATACATATCTTGCTTCCTCAACTCTCCATCAGTTTAATCCCCAGGAAGTTGGCCTCTACCTTTGCTTCTTAGTAGGACTACTCCCTTAGTCTACTTTTGGCCTTGACGTCTCATGCCACTCTGCTGCCCCTGTTAGGTGCTCCTTCCTCTCTTTGACTTCTCCATTTCTCTTGCTCCTTGCTCCTTTCCTGCCTGCCCCCTACATGCTGGTGCTGCCTGGATTCCCCCTTCACCCTCCTCTCTTCCCACAGCCCTTCTTCTACCCCCAGGAGCTCATCAGTGCCCTGACTTGCCAGTCCCCTTTGTGTTGGGATTCCCACATCTGGTCTCCAACCCAAGCTTCTATCTTAAATGTCAGGTTTAAGTTTCAGCTGCATACTGGCCATCTCTGGGAAGTTTTATGGACTTTCAAACCCCATGTGCCACAGACATCATCCTTTCCCCTACACTTGCTCTTCCTCATTTTTCCAATTCAAGAGGCTCATCCAAACTGGAAGCTATCCTCTCATTTCCCCCCAACACATATCCACAAGTCCAATCTATCCTACCTCCTTAATATGTCTTCATTTCAAGTGCTGCTAGTCTAGTTTGTCATTCTTGACTATTTATTACAAAACCTAAACTCTGATCCAGTGAGTCTCAACATTAGATGCACATTAGAATCATATAGAGAGCTTTATAAAACAATCTCTATGCCAGGCGAGCCAGATCAATCATATCAGAGTCTGGCAGTGAGGTCTAGGCAGCAGTATTTTTAAAGTACCCCAGGTGATTCAACATGTAGCCAAGGTTGAGTCATTATTCTAATATGACCCCTTCCTTCCATTCAAACAGAAATTATTTTCTTAAAATAGATTTCTGGGGGATCCCTGGGTGGCTCAGCAGTTTAGCGCCTGCCTTTGGCCCAGGGTGTGATCCTGGAGTCCCGGGATCAAGTCCCACGTTAGGCTCCCGGCATGGAGCCTGCTTCTCCCTCTGCCTGTGTCTCTGCCTCTCTCTCTCTCTATGTCTATCATGAATAAATAAATAAAATCTTAAAAAAAAATAAAATGGATTTCTGATCACATTGGCCCCTCTAGTTAAAAATTTTCCCAGTTTTCCCACTGACCAAAGAACAAAACTCAAACTCCTTGGCATGATACATAAGCCCCTGCATGATCCAGCCCCTGCTCCCCTCAGAAAGGGAACGTGGTGGAGAGATTGGAGGCAGGGGAGCTGGTTAGAAGGCTGTTGCAATAATGTAGACAAGCTGTAATCCACTGATTCTCACTTGTCTGCACACTGGAATCACCCAATGAATTTAAACAGTTTTTGATGTTTGAATCTAACCATGGAGTTTCTGATTTAGTTAGTCTGGGATGCAGGCTGATCATCAAATTTCCCCAATTCTGGTACACTCCCCAATGCAATTCTGATAAGCAGCAAAGTTTGAGAACAACTGCTTTAGTTCAGGAACTTTCAACCCTAGGATAACATAGGGAGCTTTTAAAAAGTACCAATTCCTGTACCCCATCCCAGACCAGTTAAATAGGAATTTGGGGGAGGAGGAAGAACCTGTGCACCTGTTGTTCCTTCTGCCTTGAATATTTGTGACTCACTTTTCTACCTGTCACTGCCCTTCCTACTCATCCTTTCAGACACAGTGCAGTCTACTTTACCTGGGAGTAGTCTGCTCCAGCCTGGGTGAGATGCTCCCCTGCCATTGTGCTCTGTTTACTTTATCAAACAATTCTTTTCCTGCTTCTATGGTGCATTTACCTATCTGACTGCAGTTGGAATTGTGGAGGCTTTTTTCTATATGAAGCTCAATAAATATGTGTTGAATGATGGAGAAACAGAGGGCACACCAGAGGCTAGAAACCATATCTTCAGACCTTCAAGGTGCCCCATGGCTGCTGCCTCCCAGTGTGGCAGCAAGGGGTTGGGGTTGTCTGGCGGGGCCATAGAATTACCCATGTAGGCATCAAGCATAGAGGACAGCTTCTTTTTCCAGAGCTCAGCAGCAAGGATGCCATTGTAGTATATTGCTTGTACACCAATTGCCAGCTGTACTGCCTTCTTCTGGTCACTGGGGTTAACTAACTTCACTGAGAACTGGGCATTCCCGCCCAGGTATAGGGAGCTGGGTGCTTCCAAAAACATGTACAGAGTCTCAGCGGTCTTGAGACTAGGAGGATGGATGCCACTGTCTTTTTTATGTCCCATTCTCTCATTCTGGACTTTCTCCAACACCTCTTTTTCTTGAGGAGATCCTGCAATGGAGGAAATAAAGCAGGCCTCTTATCCAGAGGGTATAGACCCTTCTAATAAAAGTCCAAAATTAAGATTCATCTACCCACTGCTACTCAAATTCTAAAGTCACAAGAGTTTTACAAACCTCTAAGGCCACATTTAGCCTAAAAAAAAATCTGTCCTAATGTGAAACCTGAAAGCCTAAAAATCCTAGAACATAGGCAATAGCTTCTTTGATACCAGCCAGAGCAACTTCTTTCCAGACATGTCTCCTGAGGCAAGAAAAAAGCAAACATAAACTATGGGGACTACATTGAAATAAAAAGCTTCTGCAAGGAAACAAACAACAAAATTAAAAGGCAACCTATGGAATGGGAGAAGATATTTGCAAATGACATGTCTAATAAAAGGTAGTATCCAAAACAAAGAACTTATAAAACTCACCATCCCCAAAATGAATAGTCCAATTTAAAAATGGGTGGAAGACATGACATTTCTCCAAAGAAGACATATAGATGGCCAACAGACACATGAAAAAATGCTCAAATCACTTATCATTGGAGAAATGCAAATTAAAACTACAATGAGATATCACTGTGCATCTGTCAGAATGGCTAAAATCAACAACACAAACAGCAGGTTTGGGTGAGGAAGCGGGAAAAGGGGAACACTCTTGAACTATTTATTGGTGGGAATGCAAACTGGTGCAGCTACTATGGAAAACAGTATGCAGGTTCTTCAAAAAGTTAAAAGTAGAACTACTCTGAAATCCACCAATTGCACTAGTAGGTACTTCCCCAAAGAATACAAAAATATGAATTCAAAGGGATACATGCACCCTGATGTTTTTAGCAGCATCTTCTACAACTCAGCAAATTATGGGAGCAGCTCAAGCATCTATCAACTGATGAATGGATAAAGATGTATACGCATGTGCGCGCGCGCGCACACACACACACACACACACACACACTGGTATGTTATTCACCCATAAAAAAGAATGAAATCTTGCCATTTGCAATGGCATGGATGGAGAGTATAATACTAAGTGAAATAAGTCAGTCGGAGAAAGGCAAATACCATACAACTTCACTCATATGTGGAATTTAAGAAACAAAATAAATGAACAAAGAGGGGGGAGAGAGAGAAGCAAACCAAGAAACAGACTCTTAACTATAGAGAACAAACAGATGGTTACCAGAGGGAAAGCAGGTGGGAGGATAGATGAAATGGGTGATGGGGATTAAGGAGTGTACTTGTCATGATGTGCACCAGGTAATGTGTGGAAGTGCTGAATCACTATATTGTACACATGAAACTAATGTTACACTGTATGTTGACTTACTGGAATTTAAATTTAAAAAAAATTTTTTTTAAGTCTGCATTGGGCAGATCCACTACAGATACAGCATCTCTTTCAAGTCACTCAAGGACCAAGTTCTTCAAGTGCTATGCATTTGCCCCTTGAAAGGTGGGAGAGCAAGCTTCTGGACAAATCATACTGACTTTGAGGACAGGTCTGCAGGGACTCACATCTTCCTAAGTGAAGGAGTTGACTTATTCCAAGGGCAGTGCAGGCCATAGAATATTCTAGAGCAGGGGAATAACATAATTAGTCTCTGTTTCAGAAAGCTCACTCTGGAAACTAAACTGGAAAGGGAACAATAATGGAGAAACTGGATCCAGGAGGTCCCATTAGGAGGGCATCATGTTGCAGATGAGATGTTGAGGCCCTGAATTGTCTATAGGCAGTGTCGAAGGAGATGAGGAAATAGAGGTGGGAGTAATGTGGGGCAGTGAAGGAAGGAGAGTTGAGACAGGTGCAAGCCTTCTTGTTTGAACAAATAGGTAACGGTGGTGCCTTTAACCAAATGGAGGAAGCAACAGATTTGGGGTGCTGGAAGAGAAGGTGAGAAGGAGAGAGGGAGAACATCTTCTGGAAGCTGGGCTTGGTATTAAGTGTGTTGTTTTATAGTAGTGGTTTTCAACTGGGGGCAATTTAGCTCCCCAGGTGATATTTGGAAAGACTTGGAGACCTTTTTGGTTGTCACAACCCATTGTGGTGTGGTGCTGGCATCGAGTGGATGCAGGCTGGGAATGCTGCTAATCAGCCTATGACGCATAGCCCCCTACAATGAAGAGTTATCTGGCCCAAAATGTCAATAGTGTCAAATGGGGTTTAAAAAAAAAAAAAACCTATTTTATATGATGAAAAGAAGACAGTGACTCTGGCCTGCATCTTTCCGGCCCATCCCTTTCCCTCTATTGGCATTTCAGTGCTGAGAAGCCTGGGGCCCTCCCCTGCCCAGTACCTTCAGGATACTTGTAGTTCTGAGTGATGTCCTCACAGCGGTCACTGTCCACACCCTTGGTGCTAATGTTGTTGCCAACATACTTAGTGTTGGAGTTGGTCAGCTCCAGCGCGCCATCCTCACGACACTTCCAGACCACGCATGAGGCATTTACTGCGGCAAAAAGGTCTGATACTGCAGGAGTCAGCCCTAGTGTCCCCTCCTTTACTGCTCTGACAGGGGCCAGATCACAGGACTCCAGGACTGAGGGAGAAAAAGGTCAGTGAGCAAGAGGAACCATGACTAGATCTCTCCCTGAGTCAGAGCTTCATAACCTCAGTCCCCATCCTATATTCTATTTTCCCTCCCTGAGATCAAGGTCAGGGGTCGGCACTAGGCAGAGTTTCTGAAAGGGCATTGCAGTGGTGAAATTCACGGTTATTTAGTGACAGCACTTTTTGGTCATGGCCTGTGGCAGGAGCCCTCTCAGAAAGTGGGCAGGTAGAGCCTCAGAGGAACAGAGTACACCAGAGTTCCTTAGCCAGCTCTACTATGGATATGATGGGAATAGGTCACCTCTATTGAACTCTTACTATGTGCAGGCTCTTTTATTGTTCTGCTGCTGAGAAAGGAAGAACAATCCTTTTTATGGCTCCTGAAGATTCCTTCTCTGAGCTTGAGAGTATTCTGATACTCCCTTTATCCATATCCAGAACCTTAGAAATTCCACCCTACAAGCCCCTAACCCAGCACATCCACCAGCTATCTATAGACCTTTTACCCTTCATTGAGACTCTGCTCCCTCACCTGTTGCTCTAAGATAGGGTGAGTCTCCCCAGGGCCTTGGGCCTAGATGGCTAACACCTTTGTTCCCTTGAGCCCACTGGCTTCTGCTGGATGCTATCATTCCTTCCACTTCTCCTGTTTTAGGGGAGGCAGACCCCCTTTAGACCTCCTACTGCCCCTGTTTCTGAGGGACTCCTTCAGCTTGTGCGGCTTTGCGCAGCCCAGGATGGTACTGGGCCTACCCCCAGGCTTTACCTCCTCCTCCACCAGAAACTCTTGGGTACAGAATCTGCCATCCATCATAACCTTGGGGCAAATCAGGCCGGGTCATCCAGCATTCTGTGGAAGTCTGGAAGATCCTGAAGGTACCAAAGTGAATAATTCAAGCAGGGAAAAAGTAGTCCTGAAGAGCTGAAGACTGACCAGCAACATCCTGCCTACAAGAGTTTGGAGGCCTCCGCTCTGCCGGGGTCCCTCAGGGTGTGTGGGGCTTGCCATGAGGTTATACCATGTGGGCTTGGAGCCTTTCCATGTCTGGGACCTCATTCTCTTTGGGCCTCTCACCAGATTCTGCCTCTTGGGCCTTCTCCATTCTGAAGGGCCTCCTCGTTGTAGTATTCATCTACAAACAGATGTCCACCAGTTCCCTGGGCTGACGTAAATGTGGTAATGACGCGGGCAGGGATTCCCAGGCATCGCAGCACTGCATGGGAGAGGCCAGAGTCAGGGGGTGCCAGAGAGGCCTGGGTATGTATAGCTAGTGTTTTCAGTGTCTCCTCCGGGCTGGCATGGTCTTAAATGCCACCTGACACTGTGGAAAGAAGAAGGGACTGGGACCCAGGAAGGGAGGACTGACATAGGCACGAAATACATAAAGGCCGAGAAATGAGGTACAAAAATTTTACACAGCAGGCAGCATATACAGCAGGGCGGGCTTACAGAATATATGACAGAGGCCTGGGGCTTGCTCTACTGAGGCTAGGGCAGAGGAAGTTTCAGGGAGAAAGCCACGGGGCAACCCAGAAGGCAAGTACAATAGCCAAGGTGACCTGTGGGTGCGGTAGGCAAGCCAGCTCTGTACCTGTGCAAGCAACTGCGGCAAACACCCAGGCCTGACTATCATACACAGGTCGCCCTTGGCCTGTGATCCACTGCCGCAGGATGGGCACACTGCCCCGGCGTTTGTACAGCAAGACTCCTTCCTGGGTGGTGTCGGTCCGTGGAGTGGGCAGGACACTCTTCTCCTTGAGACCATGCAGCTGTTTGTGGAAAGGTATGGATGTTATGTGGGGCCCAGGACAGAATAGCCTCGGGGTGGGGGAGTGGGTAAGGAGGGCTTAGAACACCTGTATCAGAATCTTCTGGATATTCCTGGACTTCAACCTACCCACTGGATTATAAACTCTAGGGGTGGGGTCTGGGAAATGCTCCTTTTTATCTAGTCCTCTGGAAGCTGGGGTTTGTGGACTACAATGGCAAACAGAGTTCACATCAGCAGAGAAGCAAGAGAGCTGCCTCTCATTGGAGGTTAGTTTCACTGCTCCTTCACTTCCCTGACCCTGATTCCTTTGAGGTCATTTGCACTTGAGGCCTCAAGGCCCACTTATCCCAAGCTTCCTCCTCCTCACAGGTTGACCTGGTCCCTCTCCACCTCTTCAGAGGGGAGTCCAGAGGCATCAGCAGAAACGGGGAATTCATTATTCCTCTGAAAGGACATTAAAGAACAGTGGGAAGCGCCAAACTACCTTCCCAGTCTGTATGTTCTTAGGAATAATTTAGAAATGAAACAAGCCCCTTTGGCCACTTGAGCAAACACTGGGTAAGATAGACTGCACCCTCTCTTTCCCCTGGACCTAAGCCTGCAGGTTGGGCTGATGGGATTAGGCAAAGGAAAGAAGAGTGCCCTGAGGAAATCCAAGCCAGTTTTAGTCCTCCTGGCTTGTGTCCCAAGGGATGACACTTTCCTTTGGTGTTATCTCCCTTGTGGATGCTATCATCCTCCCTCCTCCTTCAGACTTTGTCCAGGAACTGATCCCCATACCCTGGGAGAAGGGACCATTTGTGATTTGAAGATTTCCAGGGCCATAAATGTGACCTGCTCTGGCAAGGGCTCCTGTCTCATCTCCTCCCCACTTCGGCCTCCCCTCCCTCCCTACCTCACTCACCAAAGCGCCCAAAATGTGGGCCACATGCACGGGGTTGCCCCACTTCTCCACCTGCTTGTCCAAGCTCAGTAAGCCCAGGCTGAGGTTGATGACACCACACTCAAACTGTAAGGACCACACAGGACCGTGATGAAAGGCCTCTAGGTTGGGTACTTATAACCCACCATCACCTCATCCTTCTCCCAGACTCAGATTCCACTCCTTCCTGCCTTCTTATCTCCCATGGCAGTTCTGGCTGTTCCCTTCCTTCCACCATGCCCCCTGGTCGCTGTGTCCAGGCAGTCCCATCCTTTGCCTGTTCTGTTGTCTGACTTTCCTGACAGGGAGACAGGGCATCAATCCTTGACGCCCAAAGCTGTATTGTTTCATATATATTGTTTCCCATCTATTGTTTCCCATTTGGTGTGCTCTTACTGCTCCTGCCAGCACTGACCCACATGGGGAGGAGACCAAGGCAGCTCTTGCTCTTGAGGAACCCTCAGTTTAGGAGCAGAGAGGGACATGTAGGCACTTAGACTACAGATCTCAGCAACATGGCCAGGGCTCTAGGAGAAACGGCAACCCAAAGCAGAGGCCATAGTGGAGTCACTATTACCTTTGGGGGCTGGGGAAAACATTCTGATGGTCATCAAAGATGAGTAGGAATTTTCTGGGGTGATAAAGGAGGGAAGGTATTCTAGGCATATTCAGCCTGTTTGTTCAGGGGATGGCTTGAAGCTGGAGGTGGGTGGCTTTTGAGGAAAGGAATACAGTGGCCTGGCTATGAAGGGCCTGTCAAGTCAGGGAATTTAGTTTTTATTCTGTAGATGGTGGGAACTTAACAGAGGTTTGATGTGCCATGGTCTTTAGGAAGATGACTCTGGAAGCTGTGAAGGATGGTTTGACATGGCCTTGAGGAAAGAGAGGCACCACATGGCTGAAATTGCCAAAAGAAGCCTCTCTGACACACCAGGGAGCAAGATTGTGAAAACAGGAGGATTTGGTGTGGTCTCACCATTTCTTCCATCTTGGGTCTCTGTGCCTTTCACAGAACTCCCAACAGTGCTATGTTGGGATGGGCATTTGGAGGTTCACAACCTTTGTGGTCTGTAGGAGCCCTCTCAGGAGGGCCCAGAGAGGAATTTGTCATTTTCAGCAGAAAACAAATGGAAGTTACTAATTTTGATGACTATGTACTTCGGATCTGGATTTGCTTATTTTATAGTAAGTTTCAGGAAGAAAGCCATTGGGCAACCCAAAAGGTGGGACAGATACTCTGTACAGTAGCCAAGGTGACCTGTGTTCTTCTAACTGCTTAAGAAATAAAGGTGTTTTAATTAAGCCATTAAACAGATGTGGAGGGGAGGGAACATTTTAAGAGGTGCAATCTCTTTGAAAAATGGATCAAACTCTTGAATTCAATATTTTTATAAATAAACTTATGGCATGAATCTTTAAAAAAAGAAGAAAAGAAATGACCTCATAACCTATAGCCTTTTGGACCTGCCAGTTCTGTCTGGACTGAACACTGAGGGTTATGGGGCAGTCACTGGCCCCTGTGCTTCCCCAGAGGTCCCCATACCTGGCCAAAGTCCCAGGGCTCTGCCTGGAAGCAGTCAGCTGTACCCAGGTAGATGAGGCCATGCTGGTTCAACACGTACTCCCTGCGTTGAGACTCCTTCTTCAGGAACACAGCATCCTCTGGTGAAAAGCAGGCAGGGATAAGGGCCAGTGGGATGCTAGGCCCACCCTCTGTATCTAGGGCTCTGCCCTCCCTTCCCAGCTCAGGTTTGGATGCAGGCCTTCCTTCCCTTCAGCTTTGGGCCTGATAAAGACTGGGGAAGAACTCCCTTTTTTCACTGACCCCACTGGGACCCAGACTCTTCTCTGGTGCAGAGTGGGGAAAGGGGTCAGAGTCCCTGGGTTAGCCAAGGTGGCTTTCATGGTCAGTCAAATGGACAGGAACAAGCCAACCTTAAAAAGCCTACTGGTTCCCAAAAACCCACCAGAGTGCTTTTGGCCCAAGAGAATTTGGCAGTAGTCTAGGGAACTTTCCAGTGGGCCTGTTATGTCTCATAAATTCAATTTAAAAATAGTGTTTCAGGGTACCTGGCTGGCTCAGTCAGTAGAGCATGCAGCTCTTGACCTTGGGGTTGTAAGTTTGAGCTCCACGTTGGGTGTAAAGATTACTTAAAAATTAAGTGTTAAAAAAATAGTGTTTCAGAAAAAAAAACCCGATCAAACATAGATCGACATGGTGAGCAGAAGGGAAGAGGAACGTCTAGTAAGATAGGGTGAGAGGGCACAGTGAAGCTGGGTGAAGTAGAAGCTGGAGGGGAAGCCCTGGTGGCCCCTGAGTGGGTCTAAGACTTCCACAGTCTCTCATGCCTCTCCTGCTACCTTCTTCAAAGGGTTGGGCTGGGGTTCATGAGAAGGGTGGTGGGCTTTAAGGAGGACCTCTAGGAAGCTGGGAGTAGTAGGGGGACCTGCACTGTTTGCCAAGTGTCTCACACTGCACCTGTTGCTGGGTGGGGGAGGGGAAGAGGGTGCTTAGGTTTGTTCCTGGGGACTAATAAGAGAAAAGACTTTCCAGATTATCCCTCCAGCCATCTGCTGGGATGAGGGTACCCCAAACAACAGAGGGATAGGATATTAAAAATCAGGAAGCCCTGAAGAAACTGAGGGCTAAAATCACAGAACCATGTGCCTGAGGAGCCTTTGACTCCTGTCCCTCCATTTTGAGTACTATCTATGAAATAATTTCGAATTGAGGTGCTTGGCCCCAGGCTCTGCAGGGCTCTGGGAGGTACCTTATCAGAGCACAGGTAGCATCACCTGTGGATTCCCCCCTGGGATGCGGCCCCCTTTTATAGAGTTCTCTGTTTATGAATAGGATTTTCATTAGAGGATGTAAAATTTCCTCTCAAATCCAAGAGTCCCATCTCCAAGTATGCTAAAATAGGACTGAGTCTCAGATAATCCGAAAGTCTCTTAATCACCTCCCAGATAAGCAGAGCCAATAACTCACCCCTGCGCACACAGACATCTCCATATGGACTCGCATAGAGAGGCCTTCCTAGGCAGGTCAAGCCAAGTATAGAGGCAGGACTAAGAGGTCTCAGTGAACTGAGCATGGTCTCAGAACAATCTTTGCTGTGTCTTTGCTTTGGCCATGAGGGCCTAGCTCTGGATGTGGGCTTGGTGTCAGCGAGGCAGGTACACTACAGCCTCAACTTTGGAGGGAGATATGTCAAGAGCCATGGGTCCTCCCCCAGCTGAAGGGGTCCTGACTCCACATGTACCTACGTGGGGCAGGTGCACCTGAATGGGCACTGGTTCTCATCTGTTACTCTACCTGCTTATCCCCTTGGATCAAGAAATAAGAGCCTGAACACAGGATAAGAAGGGCTATCTGAAGGAAGGGGGATTGGAGAACCCCACCCTGAGCAAGAAAAGTGGAGAGAGGGAACCCACTGGGTTTCAGATGCCACATAGAAGGAGAGTCAGGGACTGTCTGGAGGAACCCGGGAAGATTTCTTTTGCTTCCCTATGTTTCCTTTTGTCTTCCAGCTCTGCCTTATAATGAGGGCCCTTCAGGCTGGCAGTGAAAACTCCTGAAAGAAAAAGGCTTTGCTCTTGTTTGGGATAGCAAGGACAGGAAAGCTGTTCAAAATTGTTTTCCATTCCCCCAAGCAATGCTTCAAGAAGTACCAAGGATTAAGGGGTAAGGTGCTGTGTGGCAGATTTACAAAGTAAACACAGACTCAACCTTTAGAATGGGAAGGAAGAGGAGATGCCCTCCTTGTGTTCGGGGCCTGTCAACCATGTCTAATGATCTTTTCTAGATGAAATAGGCCCAATAGCCAAGGCTGAGCTTTGCCAGAGGTGGCCACTGGTTGGGCTGCGGAAGGTCACCAGACCTCAGGAAAGCCCACCCTTAGTCTACTGAGCTACAAGACACTAGCTGTTTAATTTGCTAGTTGAATATTTAGACAGGTCAACGTGGAGAGGACCCAGCAGCCTGTAGTAAGAACAGAATGTACAACTGAAGAGAAGCAGAGACAATCAAACAGGGCAGATTGACTATAGAGCTGATCAAGCTGAAGTTTTGGGCCCTTCCCTAGCACAGACCTTTTCGGCTTGAGCTATTCAAGCTTTTGTATTCATTGTCTTAAAGAGTGTCCCCCAAATTGTATAAATAAACCTCAGGTCTCACAAAACCTGGATTTATCCTGGATGCAGACTATGAGAGCCCAGGGAGGAAACAGAAAAGCCTATCCCTTGGGTTGCATCCATTCCTGAACCACTTTCCAATTATCAGCCCCCCTACGGTCACAATAAAGAATAGCTCTCCCAGTCTGCCTTCAGCTCAGAATGTGATCCCAGGGTCCGGGGACGGAGTCCCACATTGGGCTCCCTATGAGGAGCATGTTTCTCCCTCTGCCTATGTCTCTGCCTCTCTCTGTGTGTCTCATGAATAAATAAAATAAAAATAAAAATAAAAAATGAAATAACAACAACAACAACAAAATAATAGCTCTCCCAGGCTCATCTCAGGGAGTCTCTGCTCCTGTGACCAAGGTACCTGACCCAGCACCAGGGTTTGGTGGTGAGATAAGCCTTTGCTTTCAGTGGGAAGCCACAGGCTGCTTCTGCCAAGGGTGAGACTAATGCAGACTCTGGGTTTGGGAGGCCATTCATCCTGGGAGCAGGTACCTCAGTAACTGAGTACTGGGACTATTCTTAGAGGGAACTATCTTCTGGGGCCTGGGGTGGTCACTTCCTGCCAAAGCCGTGCCCCAGCTACTATGTCTTGAGTCCCTGTACAGCCCAGGCTGGCTCAGGTCCAAACTCACCTCGAGCCCAAGGGTTAAAAAGCAGTGTGAACTGGCCTAGGAGGAGTGGCTTCTTGCCCACGACCTGTAGCAGGAGTGAGTAGTGGCCGATGATAGCATCTGCGGGTGCAGTTACAGAGACCTTCCAGGACTGGTCATCTCTGTCTTCCACTGCTGCATTCCACCACTGCTGGTCCCCCAAACTGGAAATTGGGAATGTGGCTTGGGTCTTGTTGGCCTTGGAAGGGTACTCTCCTGCAGTCACACAGAGATGAATTGGTCATTTGGACCTTCCAGTCACAATTCAGAGTAATAAAGTCAAGTATCACAAAGTTGGAACAGGTGAGAATTGGTTTTCAATGAGAATGGAAGCAGCCCATCCAGTAATGGGAGGCCTAAAGCATGGTGGGAGAGCAGAAGTTCTCAGTGCTCATGGACCTACACCAAGAAAAAGTTCATACTGTATAAAATGGGCATAGTAGTATGCCTTCTTTGTAGGGCAGATGTAAGATCTTAATGAGGTATTGCATGTGAAGCACTTGGCCCAATATCAAACATGTAGTACAAATTCAATAAATAGCAGCAATTAAATGTTATCTTAAGCCTAGATTAGTTCCATTCAGGCCTTTCTACAAAACTGATATAATTGTAGTCAAAAGAAACCTCTTAGTAATAATGATGCTCAGCAACTTCTGAATCACAATAAACACTATTTAAAAAAATATATTTATTTTACCCATTTTAGAGAGATAGCAGGGAGAAGGGTGGAGAGAGAGGGAGAGAGAGAGTATCCTCCAGTGGGCTGCCCGCTGAATGTGGAGCCCAGTGCAAGGCTTGATCCCAGGAGCTGAGATCATGACCTGAGCCAAAATCAAGAGTCAGTGGCTTAGCCAACTGAGCCACCCACGGACTCCAATAAACATTGTTTTTTTTAGGCCTGTTATCTCATCTTCACCACAACCCTGTCAGGTGGACAGGACTTCTTGAGGCTCAAGTGCAGTGTGGGCCATTTGCCCCTTTGTTCCTTGAGGAGGTCCTGGAGCCCCCGAGTCCTGCCACCAAAGAGTCCCACTTACCAGTTTGTGCAATGAGGGTTACCTTCTTCAGGGTGTGTATAAATGCTTGGACTGGAGCCTGGAAGTGAAGGATGATGGTGAAGGGCTGCCCTCTCCTCACAATGAGGTGCTGGGAGCTGATGGCCTTGGTGTGGTGCTCCTCATTGTTTCTTGCTGTCTGGAAGTCGCAGGTCTTGATCCCCAGGGCTATTGTTGAAAAGAGAAATCATGGAGACTGGGTAAATGTGACAACTTAAGTAAAAGCAGAGACCCTTAGAGTCAGAGTTGGACTGAAGTTCAAATCCTTGTCTCAACTTACATACTAGCTGTGCCACCTAACGCAAGTAACTTAACCACTCTGAGCCTCAGTTTCCTCTTCCTTAGAATAATCATCCTTCCCTGCAGGTTGGAGAAATTAAATGAGTTAATGTATTAATACACTTAGCACAGTGTCAGACATGTAGGAAGTCCCATTAAATGAGACTACTACTATTATTAGTAAGAGCAGTGCTTGCTTTCACTGTTGACCTTCCTCTCTGGTTCCTATCCAAAAAATAATTAATAAAACCCACAATTTTGTTCATCCCTACTCCTTTCTTCTTAAAACACAGTCAGATAATTTTTAGAGCTGGTTTTAAAATCGCTGAGCTGATTCTCCTGTTTTATGGATGGGAAGAATGAGAGCCAAAGAGTAGAACCAACTCACCTGAGATCATACTTGGCTCTTTCACCTAAAGGCTCACCAAACCCACAGCACCATGCAGGCCAGAAAACTCTCCAAGGAGTGGGGGCCTGAGAGTGTTACGACAGTCTATCAGGCAGTTCTTATTTTACAGTGAGTCTTGTAAATATACTAACAGACTTATGCAGAGGCCCCTGAGCTTTCTGCATCCTCCCCTTCTCTCCCACTTAGCTTTGAGGCAATGACACCCTCATGCTTCCCCAGGGTTATCTCCTGTATGTATCACAACCTAGGGAGAATAATCATGTTGTGATGCCATAAATCCATGTTAATGATAACATAATTCCATGTTAACTGTCATCATCACTGTCACAGCTATGACCACCAATTTGCCACCAACAACCTACTGTATTGCCACCCATAGCCATACCATTGCTGCCACCACCACAGCACCCACTACCACTCCCCAGGATAGCCCCACCAACCATCACATCCACCAACACCAGTACCTACTACTGCCCTCCCACCAGAGTCACATAACTGTTATCTCTCCTACCACCAGCACCTACAACCACCCTCCACCATAGTCATACCACAATCACTTCTACCACCATCCTACTTCTATTAATAAAACATGTTATATGGAGGAGCTACTGATAGTCAAGTAAGCCCCATGGAGAAATGGCTTGGCTCACCCTGTCCCATGGCTGCAGGCTGCCCTTCTCCACTTGACCACCGGAAATGCCTATCTTGAACTGTTGCTCTGTGCTGCCTCTCTGAATCTGTCCTGAGAGAAAATGATGGAGGTACTTTCATTGGCTTAAGAATATGTAAATAGTAGTATCCTTCCACTCCTCCTACATGTTTCTTTTCTCTTGCTCCCTCCCCACTGCTATCTCCAGGGCCAGCTGCTAGGAGTTACCCTTTTTCATTTTATCTCTTGTGCCAAGCTGGAGCAGGGAGTAGAATGGGGGAGGATCTGTCAGCTAGAGAAGCTGAGATGAAACTTCTAAGCCTATTGCTTCAGTGGTCTCAAGAGACCCTCAGAGATGTTACCTGAACAACACTAAAAGACTCTGGGAGAGAAGACTTCATAAACAGGAGGCCCACATCCAACTCCAAATCTTAGGTTCTAAACATATCATCTTCAAGTTGCTAGATGTTTGTGGCTATTTTGGTAATATATATAGAGAGAACTTGTGTGTCTGGGATTCATCTGTGTGAAGCAGATAAGGAGGTAGAATTTGTTGGTGAAAAAATAAATGTCCTAAAAGTAGAAGTCAGAGCCCCAGCTCTTCTAAGCCTGTCAGATCTGCGACACTCTTCCAGAGAAGTTTGGAAACTCTCTTGGGAGTCAGGGCCTATGTCTTTTATTTCTACTTGTTTAGTCACTGAGGAGACAAGACACAGGAAAGGACCTCCTCTTTGGCTCTCTTTGGTTTTATAAAGCCCAGCTTTTGCTGGGGCTTCTAAGACTGCTACCGGGAGCATCCTCAGGGCTAGTTGTGGTGGCCTGCATGCAAATGGAATATCTATAGAAAGAAATAAAAAATACTACAAAGAACATTGGGTGCCTGTGAGGGGGAGAGCTGGAAAATGGGAGAGGAAGATGACTTTCTCCTATTTACACTTTTATACTTTCAAAACTTTGAACCATTGCCCATTTGAAGAATCTTATTATGTTTAAAGAAAGAAATGATGCTGCTGCCTTTTTATTCCCCCCCCCAAAAAAAAACGATTCTTCATGAGAAATGAAGAGATAAATATTTTATTATTTGAAGATGATGTGATTTTTACCTGGAACCCCGGGTCAACTAAAAAATGATTATAAAAGATAATTTAGAATGCTATTCTTAAGTTTAATGCATTCCCAATAAAATTACTAACGAGTTTCTTCTCTGAAAATAGAAAAGCTGGTTCCAAGGTTCAAAAGGAAATACCTAAAATATATAAGATATCTAAAAAGATCTAAGAAGATGTAAAGATGTTTTAGATTAAAATATCTAAGATCTTGGGGTTGTAGTTTTGTGCTCCATGTTGGTTGTAGACATTGCTTTAAAAATCTTTTTTTTAATCTTTTTAAGTTTATTTTTTATTGGTGTTCAATTTACCAACATACAGAATAACACCCAGTGTTCATCCCGTCAAGTGCTCCCCTCAGTGCCCGTCACCCATTCACCCCCACCCCCCACCCTCCTCCCCTTCCACCACCCCTAGTTCATTTCCCAGAGTTAGGAGTCTTTATGTTCTGTCTCCCTTTCTGATATTTCCCACACATTTCTTCTCCCTTCCCTTATATTCCCTTTCACTATTATTTATATTCCCCAAATGAATGAGAACATACAATGTTTGTCCTTCTCCGATTGACTTACTTCATTCAGCATAATACCCTCCAGTTCCATCCACGTTGAAGCAAATGGTGGGTATTTGTCGTTTCTAATGGCTGAGGAATATTCCATTGTATGCATAAACCACATCTTCTTTATCCATTCATCTTTCCATGGACACCGAGGCTCCTTCCACAGTTTGGCTATTGTGGCCATTGCTGCTAGAAACATCGGGGTGTGGATGTCCCGGCGTTTCATTGCATCTGTATCTTTGGGGTAAATCCCCAACAGTACAATTGCTGGGTCAGAGGGCAGGTCTATTTTTAACTCTTTGAGGAACCTCTACACAGTTTTCCAGAGTGGCTGCACCAGTTCACATTCCCACCAACAGTGTAAGAGTGTTCCCTTTTCTCTGCATCCTGTCCAACATTTGTGGTTTCCTGCCTTGTTAATTTTCCCCATTCTCACTGGTGTGAGGTGGTATCTCATTGTGGTTTTGATTTGTATTTCCCTGATGGCAAGTGATGCAGAGCATTTTCTCATGTGCATGTTGGCCATGTCTATGTCTTCGTCTGTGAGATTTCTGTTCATGTCTTTTGCCCATTTCATGATTGGATTGTTTGTTTCTTTGGTGTTGAGTTGAAGAAGACACAAAGAGATGGAAAAATATTCCATGCTCATGGATTGGAAGAATTAATATTGTGAAAATGTCAATGTTACCCAGGGCAATTTACACGTTTAATGCAATCCCTATCAAAATACCATGGACTTTCTTCAGAGAGTTAGAACAAATTATTTTAAGATTTGTTTGGAATCAGAAAAGACCCCAAATAGCCAGGGGAATTTTAAAAAAGAAAACCATATCTGGGGGCATCACAATGCCAGATTTCAGGTTGTACTACAAAGCTGTGGTCATCAAGACAGTGTGGTACTGGCACAAAAACAGACACATAGATCAATGGAACAGAAGAGAGAACCCAGAAGTGGACCCTCAACTTTATGGTCAACTAATATTCGATAAAGGAGGAAAGACTATCCATTGGAAGAAAGACAGTCTCTTCAATAACTGGTGCTGGGAAAACTGGACATCCACATGCAGAAGAATGAAACTAGACCACTCTCTTTCACCATACACAAAGATAAACTCAAAATGGATGAAAGATCTAAATGTGAGACAAGATTCCATCAAAATCCTAGAAGAGAACACAGGCAACACCCTTTTTGAACTCGGCCACAGTAACTTCTTGCAAGATACATCTACAAAGGCAAAAGAAACAAAGGCAAAAATGAACTATTGGGACTTCATCAAGATAAGAAGCTTTTGCACAGCAAAGGATACAGTCAACAAAACTAAAAGACAACCTACAGAATGGGAGAAGATATTTGCAAATGACCTATCAGATAAAGGGCTAGTTTCCAAGATCTATAAAGAACTTATTAAACTCAACACCAAAGAAACAAACAATCCAATCATGAAATGAGATATGATTCTAATAGTGTTTCTATGCAAGGAGCATCCTATATATTGATAAAAGAGAACATCTTTATACCACAATATTATTTCATTAAAAACTAAGTCATCAAGAAAAGAAATCCACTCAATATTCTGAATAATGTCTATACTTTTGAATCAGCCATTTCACTTCTCGATATTCTAATGCAAATAACCAAACATGTAAAATGAAATCTATACAAGTATATCCATTGTACTGGTAGTTACAATAGCAAAATATCAGAAACTACATAAATGTCCAGAAATAAGGGACTAAATAGATATATTATGGGACATGCATTCAATAGAAAACTATGCAAATGTGAAAAAGAATGAAGTAGCCTTACATAAGCTGATATGGAACAATCTCCAAACTATATCATTAAATGCAACAAGTAAGGTACAGAACAGTGTGAACAGTATGCTACCTTTATATAAGGAGTGTGGGGGGAGAATATATATGAATTTGTGTTTGCATAGAATATTTCTGGGAAGTTATGGCTTCTGTGTAGGGAAATTCACTGACTGGGTATATGGCTCTTTTTTTCTGTGTATCCTTTAGTATCTTTATACCATGACAATATAGTGTTATTATTTGAAAAATAACAAAAACTTGCAAGAGAAAGAAAGGCTGACTAAGGGGCATCTGGGTGGCTCAGTTGGTTAAGTGACTGCCTTTAGCTCAGGTCATGATCTCAGGGTCCTGGGTTAGAGCCCCGCATGAGGTCTCCCTGCTCAGTGGGGAGACTGCTCCTCCCTCTCTCTCTGCCTCTCCCCCCAGCTTGTGTGCGCTCTCTCTCTGTCTCTCTCTGTGTCTCTGTCTCTCCCTCTTAAATGAATAAATATTAAAAGAAAAGGCTAACCAGAAGACTGTTTTCTCCACTGTGAGCCTCTGACCTATGGGAGAACAATGGGGGAGTTGTGGTCTGGTATTCCTTTTGGGGTTTGTTTCACTTTTGGTACTGGCAAAGACAATCTTCTCTTTCCTGATGTAATTCCCAGGGAGCTCCATAAATACTCACTTATGGGCAGTATTTCATTGGGGCACTTTTGCAGGAGCCCATAATGAGACACAGACTGCTGTGTTTTGACTGAACTGGGAAAAGGAGAGATGCAAGGAAGTTGGAGGGACAAGTGGCCAGAAAGTTCTGTCCTGCTTTCCACTGCATCCACACCTTTCAATGTCCCAGCCTCTGCCAGAAAAACTAGCTAGTGTGTACCCAGGAAGGATTCATTAATTCATTTGTGACACAAATCTTAATTGAGCACTATTATGCATCAGGAATTGTAATAGGCATTAGTAATGGAGTAATACATTAGATAGATGTGTCCTTGCCATCAAGGAGCTTATATTCTGGCAGGGGAAACAGTATCAAGTGCTTACACTATTAATTATCTGCTTGCTATTGTGATAACAAGCTCCGAGTTCTTGGACCTAGGTGTAGAAGTCAGGGAAGGTTTTCTAAAGCAATAGCTAAGCTGAGAAACTAGAAAGATAGGTAGGCAATGGGGCAAGGGTGGGCTGGGATGGGAGGATCAAGAACAGCATGTGTAGGGATCCCTGGGTGGCGCAGCGGTTTGGCGCCTGCCTTTGGCCCAGGGCGCGATCCTGGAGACCCGGGATCGAATCCCACGTCGGGCTCCCGGTGCATGGAGCCTGCTTCTCCCTCTGCCTGTGTCTCTGCCTCTCTCTCTCTCTCTCTCTCTCTCTCTCTCTCTCTGTGACTCTCATAAAAAATAAAAAAATAAAAAAAAAAAGAACAGCATGTGTAAAGACCTTCAGGGAGCAATTGAAGGAAGGTCATGAGACTGGAGCACAGATTGTGATGAGGAGAGGTAAAGTAAGGGCTAAATCTTGCAGAGTTGAGTTAAGGATTTTAAATTTTATCTTCAGAGTTCTGGGAAGCTATTGAATGGGACTTTAAACAAGGGAGAAACAATCA